CCTAAAGATTATTTCATGTGGGTATAAACGTCCATTAAATGAAATGATGAATTTTTGAAGAATTTTAAAAAACAGAAAAAATTATAATTATCCCAGCCCCGCATCATCAACATTGATAACTAACCATGGCGCAAAGTGGTTAATAAAGAACTTCCAAAACACAAAAACATATTGCGTACAGAAAGAACTTTCCTGGTTAAAAAAGGGGCCAATCAAAATCAAATGCCAGGGTTGTTTGTGACAGGTGGTTTGGCTGTTTTTTTATAGCAGAATGAGTCATTAGTCATTAATTTTTGAAATGGTATAAATTTTGCACACTGTAAAAACAAGAGTGACAGTACTTATAATCACCGCGTCAAGCATAAATTATGTGTACAACTATCCTTTCCCAGGGCACGCTATCAGCACATTAGCCATTTTAAGAGGGTTTAAATTTTATGATATTTTCAAAATACAAGCAGAAAAACTGGAATGAAATTTTATAATTTTTGGTCATTTTTGTATCAAATGGCATTGATTTTGATAACATTCTTTTCTTCAGAATGCATTGATTTCTGCCAAGACACAAAGGGAAATCTTTGAACATCTCAAACTTGAATACAGAGAACCTGAAGAACGGAATTGTTGAGATGTGAACCTGATACAGTGGGCATCTTGCCTTAAGGTATGACTTGACATACTACACCCGTAATAATCTGCTTCATTGATGATCATTTTTATAAACGTTTAGATCAAGTAATGACTAATCACCCCTTCTGCCATTACATAAAGCAACAGCCATCTTTCAGTTTTGCAAATCTATTTGTTTTTAATGTTAATAGCATATGAGATATGATGGGAGGCCACATTTTTAAAATCTATTTTAGATATGAACACAAAATATGCAAGAGTGATAGATGTGGAGTTTTTTTTCACTGGTTTTATTTCAAGGAAAGCATCCACTTAAATCTGAACTGGCCTTGGTAGAAACACCATGTGAAACTCTACAGCACAATTCATCTTATGTATAATTTCCACAATAGTCTTGCTAGGATTAATTCAATTCAAATGTATGTATATATACATGTACGGCTAGGATGATGTAGTGTAAGTTTTCACATCTGGAAGTATCAAATGGCATTTCAGTAGAGTATTGTCATTGCTCAAGTTTTCCAGCTACATATTAATATGGGTCAAAGATATTGATACACATTGTTAGTTGAAGGAGAAATTAATATCTTAACTTCCAAATCTGAAAATGTATAATGTACACGTTTTAAACAAAATTTGAGGGCATATTGCAAGAATAAGAGAAGGTATTTAATGATTTAATATGACCAAAATAACCCTTTTCTTGAAACAAATGGTACTTTTTACAAGTTACATTATGAAGTATAACAAGAAAAGCTCTGAAATAACAAAATTAGGTCTAATCTCAGAGCTTTTTGATACGCCCTTTCCGATTCCTTCACTTATTTGTTATTTAAGCAAGCCAGGTAGAAAATAGAGTAGCCATTTCAACTGCATTTAAGTAGGAACTAAACATGTATAAATTTTTTTTTTCAGAAGTTAACAAAATGGACACCAAAATTTCCAATGACTAGTGTATGACCTTTGACATGTTGACACTTGTTGCTTTTGAATAAACGGCACAATTTAAGTTAAACCAACTGCCAAAGAACAGTATAGATTGACTGCATCAAGTCAAATATCAGCATACACTGCATTGACCATTTGCATGTACCGTATTCCAAAGCTTTCATGATTTTTTAAACTATTCAGTAGGTTAGTTGAGAAGCTTTTGGTTGTTTAGCATAACTTGTAGCATCTACACAGTATCACTTGGATCAATTCCGGTACTCACATCTGTGTTACAATTGTAATGCACCTCTTAAATAAACATTCACAAATACAAATAGGCTGTTTATCAAACAGCAAAGTAGATAAATTTGAAAACCCTTCAGACTGATTCCATTGTTCGATCCAGATATTCAAGATTGCCAGAAAAGTTGCTCTTCCTTGCATCAGTGTTTATATTTTTATCAAAATAGACAAATCTAAAGAGAAAATAGTTGAATAGAACTCTTAGGAATAATACAATGTACAAGTTCACACGTCTGTTTTGCACCAACAACGTCGATACTTTTTCAACATGTTTTGCCATCGAAAATTCTTGGTCAAGTGGGGAATTATTCAACTGTCATCTTTTTCAAGTATCTTTCGAAGATCTTCAGTAATCATAAGCAATTCAAACCACATTAATTTACATAGGATCATAAATCAGTCAACACAATTTCAGACATGTAATGCAATTCAGCTCAATTAAACCTTTTTCAACGCAAGGCCTGGAAAATCCCAAAATGACCAAAAAAACTAACATTTCATCCAAAATCTGTACAAGGATTCAACCAAAAGCAGAGACACCTGTTGTCAAACTGAAAACCTTACCGGTACTTAACTCTTTCCTGAATAGTTGATTAAGAATTACTCTTACAAAGGTAACTTTTTTTTCCAGTTTTACATTTTAACAACATGCATTTTCTTCTTTTTCCATTTCTTTATATTCTACTTCAAAAAATATGGACACCCCTGCCAGGAAGCTGATATCAAATCAATTAAGGAACGCATACTAATTATATTCACACTTCAACAATGTACAATGAATTGATTTACTTAAATCAATTATGCAGGTTGTCTCTAGAGGGCAGTATATAATAGATTGGAATTGATGGTGATGGTTTGCAAGTAATTTACATATTGACTCTAGGGAAATCCAAATGATTTGCAGTGAGATTCAGTCCACTCAACCCTCTAAATGCAACCAGGGAATAATTGATATAATAAGGATGGGTTCATACTTCATACAAAAACCCACACCCAAGCAAATTTTAATGACATACAGTAAACTCCGTCTAAGTCAGCACCCAAAATTTGTGACGACTTACGCAAAGGCCGACTTCTACATGTGCTGTAAGTCTTCATTGTGTCGACTTACATGAAATGATGAAATGTACGTTAACATGATAAATGTACATGCATGTGATTGGGTTGCAACACTCAAAATATCTACAGGTAGGCCAAACATGGAGGAAGGAAAAGACAATGAAAACGTGACAAGGTTTGCAATGCTCCAAAGTTTTGACAAAAGAATTGGATTTTGTGAAGTGCAGCAGTCCATCAGTGCGAATGGAGTGCCCTCGTGTACATGTACATGGACCAGTAAATGCTGAATTCGCCTGGCGACAGCCCAATAAAACCTTGCACTCCATTAGACTGCTGAAAATACATGCACTAAACCCTTAAAAATACATGAAAGCAGAAAATACTTTGGAAAATAGAGGGGGATCTAGTTCTGTGACCTACATGTAGCTGAAGTATTTCAGAAGTTTTTCAATGATTGCGTCATGTTTTCCGAGTGTCAAAGTTTGGAGTGTACTTTGAGTTGTCATGGGTGTCACTGGCTCCCGGCCATTCCATGATGTCCTTGCAATTTTTTTGGCCGTAGACATCCGTGTGCCGCACAGGCTTTATTGAGTCTCGTGCGCTTCCACCACACTGCACTCAAAATGCAACTTGTCTCATGCTTGGGCCGTGGGAAAGCAGAAATTATCAATTTTGATTCACCCATCATATTCCATGCATATACATGTATTTTTTGCAGGAAAATTCCATACAATTCTACATGACATGTACATGTGATATCCTCTAAATGTACAGAGAAAGTTCTGGGATCCATCCATGATAAAGGTATCTGCAATGCGCTGTGCTGGGACGTGTCCTAACTGTACCGCTACATTAAAACCAATGCAGCGATTGTGGACCGTGCCAATAAACAGACATCGCCGTGTGACTTTCCACTTACACTTCTTGTCAATCACAAAGCAGAAGCGGATGCCACCATGGGATTTTTTAAATGCCGACTTACACAAAGAATTTTGTTGTGCTTTTTGTGGAAATGCAACCAAGAGTAACACGCCAACTTAGGCAAAATGACGACTTATAAAAGCCGACTTGGAAATAAAAATTCTTATGGAAATGCATTACAGATAAGGACTTTCGTAAGACTGCTAACTTGAGTGATTTGCCGAGTTGTGTGATGTTGACATAGCTGAAGTTTACTGTACTGACACTGTTCCATAAGCTGGAAAATTTGCTTGGATGTTGGGTACGTTTGAAGTACCTACTTGGTTTAAGTCATTATCTGTGCTTGGTAGTGGCTGGGGTGTTTGGACAGTTCTTTACTCTTTCAGACGGCCGCCGTCTCCCTCCGAGACAAAACGCTTGCGGACCCTGCAGATTGTAATCATAAACCAACCAAAACACAGAGGAATTACACAACTGTACATATAAACAATAAGTTCCAAGAATATTGGCATGCAATCTTTTGTTGAGAGGCATACATGTGTATTGAGTTCATGGTTAACAATCTCAGATTAATCCAAGGAATAAACTTTCAACCCTGACATCCCAAAGCTGACTTAAAGTTACAACTGTCAAACTGATGCTGAACTTCATATTTATACTCTGTTTCTAGTGAAACCAATGGTATCACTCATTAAACAGAAGCTTTAACTTGGGAGGGTGGTGTTAAAAGTTACTTTGATGACTTTTATAACAAATCATGAGTCTCCTTTCAGTAATGAAACTGCATAACGTCTTAATGTGTTTGAATTTTTTAATCTTTACTGTAACATCCAGGATCAGTTTGGGGTTCTGCCTTTCTGGACAAGTTGCAAGCTTCAGCTTCCTCAATGCAATGTCTGGAGAGTTGCTCATGTCTAACTACGATATCTTGGGGTTTCATGGCTTACCTAGTTGGCACCTCAGCTCTCAGCTGTGCAGAGATGAATCCTTGCTGGCGACTGATATCTGCAAACTTCTCCAGGATAGAGAAAGCATGAGGGACATCTATCACAATGTCCGGCAGAGCAGTGAATATGCGACGAAATCCCTACAAGAGAAAACAGGACATCAATACAGTTGTAACTTCACATCAACTTGGACAGCCTTGACAAGTTTTAAGCAGACTGACAACACCTATGATCATTGTGGAATACAGAGAAATGGAATGTACATGTTCCCTATTTAGAATTTGAGTTCACAGGGAAGTGTTCTTGATCTCTGGGCAGACTGCTTCCTGTTGGGTTCAGCATGCATTTCAAACAAGAGCAGGTGGTTTTTCCCAATCAGGCATCCATAGTGCTTTGGGATAGAGCCAAATTATTGCCTTGAAAAATGAAAGTATAAATACATGTAGTGTGTTACTGACACTGGCTTAATTCAAAGAGGAGAATCTGTTAAGATACAGGAAAACTTCTGGGAGAAACACTCAGAAAATGTGGGTTTATGTTCAATACTTGGTTGAATGCTAAAATAAACTACTTTTACTCTACTTTGTGGATACAGACAGCCCAGCTTTACTCACAGTGTTCATCTGGTCAATGGTGATAATGTTGCTGTCAAAGAGGGTCTTAAGAAGCTGAGCCATGGTTGATGCCACTCGTTCCACTGTCTCAAATTGCTCAAGAACCATATAGACAGCCTGCAATTAGGGAAATTAAACAGACTTAGAAGATGGATTCCTAATGGGTAGACTTAAAAGAGCAAGAAAGTTTCATTTTATTTTCAAATGAGCCATTCCATACTTTTTAACTAATCAATGATAGGCCCCTCCCCAAACATGAGGACAGTATGAAAAAAATTTCCAGTGTGAATGTTGTGTGATTTTTGTAAAAATTAGACTTCATCCACAGGAAAAAATGCAAATAGCTCAAATCCAGCTTTGTTCAAGATGGGTTAATGGATTCTCAAATTTACCAGTTCTGGCTTTTGCTTTTGTTGGGTTCTGGTGGTATTTGCAGGGTTTCTGCGACCTGGTAAAGTCATGGAAATGTGTTTTTCCTTTTTCAGGCCTTGAAAAGTCTTGGAATTTTGTAAACTGAAGTCATGGAAGTCATAAAACACTCTGTGATTTTTATTATCAGAAATAAGTGCATAAAATCTATGATTGTAGTTGCAACCTAAAAGGCTGAATAGTCCGAGAAATTGCATTATTTGGTTGTGGATTTTCAAAATTTGGTCATGGAAAACATGCAGGAACCCTGTATCTGTGAGTGACTGGATCATAAAATAAAATCCTATAGACTAATCCAATTAGATGCCATAACTGAGGTAACACAGCAATCGCACGCACATTCTTCAGCTTGACACTTCTGCATTTGGCAAATCAAGACATTCTACTTGTCAAAGAGGCATGTAATGCATGCACCAACTCTCCGTGAACGTTGCACCACCACACTATGGCTTCTAATTCTGGTTGTCTAATTACACTATCTATAATCTATAAAGATAACTGGGCAGGAGGGTAGATCACCTACCTCATAGACAAGTTCATGGTGGAAATGAGGCACATCTAGATCCTTCAAGCAATGAATGGCCTCTTGGATGTCTCCAGATGACAGATATTCCTTCAGAAGCAGCACCATCTGAGGATACG